TCAGCAGGAAACTCCCCCCCATGCTAAGCGTGGATGTGCATGGGAGTGAAGAAATACAGGCTGTGCCTGTATTTTCCGAATTTTAAAAGTTAGTATATATTAATGACACACTGAAAACTACCATTTAAAGACAGAAGCAGTGCTGTAATATGGTGACTAAGTTTTCTGGACCAATCCTCCCATTCAAACTAGAAAAATGATGCATAAATGTTGAAATGAGTCTTAAAGGCATCAGAAGGGTAACAAGGAGCAAAGAATCACCAAATCGGAACCTAACGGGAGGTACATACAGAAAAAAACTGAGTAGAGGCTGGGCTCTGAGACGGCTTTTGCTTCCAGCATGGGCAAGTGTTGCCATGTTTGACTTGGGTTTGACAGCCTCAAAGGGCAAGGAGAAAGCTCAGCGAATCCAAGGCTGTCCCAGGTGGGAGCTATAGGGCCATTCCCTGCAGATGAAGCTGAGGTGCCAAGAGCTGTGCCTGAGGATGAGGGTGCAGCAGAAGTAAGCCTGCTGCCCAGAACCTCGGGAACAGAGAAAGTCACCCCAGTGCCGAGCGGGGTATGTGGGAAGGCAAGGTCCCTGAGATACTGTAACCACATCCAGGCTTTCCTTGGATTCTCAGCCTCAATTTACATCACCTGGGTTGTCCAAAAGAAACTTAAGACACTAATCTGGACTCAGGATGTCATGAGCTGGCAGTGTCCGAGGCTGTCTGGCAGAAGCAAAAGCAATTACCCTTGGGAAAAAGATGCTTTCGCTGAAATCTTTCAAAGGTTATTCACAAGCAGTTCTTCAAGGGTACGAGCAGCGTCACTGCAGGACAAACTGATGAACATACATTATTTAAGGACAAGACAAGCTTGAAAACATCTTCAGGGAACTGAAAGCTATAAAAGTGATCCAGCAGATTTGAGAAAAATTGAACCTCTGAAAATTACTAATCATAATAAAAAATTATATGGGCAAGTTAGACAGATGTGATGGGGCTGAGCAAACAATCCATGAACCAGCAGATAAACCAGAAGGAATTATCTAGAATGCAGCATAGAGGGACAAACAGAGGGAAAATGGAGAAGAGAGGTTAAGAGACCCAGAAGAGAGAGACGAGGGGACAACAGCATCCTCTGAAGAGAGAATGACAGAGAAATCCCAGACCTGTAAGGCCACCACACGCAGCCTCACGAGGACCAGCAATTCCCAAGCAAAGTGAATACAAAGAAATAAATGTCTAAACGTATCTTAGTGAAACTGCAGGATAATAGAGATGAAGAAAAAACCCGCAAAAGCAGGTGGAGAAAAAATATTACTTTCCAGAAAGATCTTTAGAAAATCTCCAAATATCTGGAAATGAAATAACACACTTCTAAGTAGCCCAAGGGTCAAAGAAGAAATCAAAAAGGGAATCAGGAAGTGTCTTGAACTGAATGAAAATCAAAACAACATATTAAAATTTGTAGGATGCAGCTGAAGCAGAATTAAAGGGAAATGGAGAGCACTGAATTCTGAGATCCCTCAAATCAATGAATTGGATTAGAAATAAATAACAGAAAGATCTCCAAATGTTTGGAAATTAAACAGCACACTTTGACCCCAAAGAGGAGAAAGTTTTGCTTTCGGCCACGATGGAGCAGAGAGACTGGGTTTCCCCTTTCCCATCAGATGTCGATTAAACTGGACAGAATACGTGAAACAAAGGTTTTGATGTCACTCCCTCCCTTGCCTTCCCTCTTCCCTTTCTCCCCACATCCTCTCCTTCTGTACTTATTCCCTGCTTCATTTCACAGAGCATTTGAGGAATGTCATCGTGTTGATCTCATTAGAAGAAAACCTCCCTGAAGCTGGTGGCTGGATCTTCTGTTTTCTGTCTCACGTGTCCTGGTACAACATCCCTGCATTGTGGTAACCAATTAACGTTGTTAAATGAAATGATCGTCAGCCAGTTCAAAACCGTGACCCCACTTTGCAGCACAGAGAATCTCTTAAATTTGTATTTTGCTTTTTACTTTTCTAAGCTTTTAAAATTTCACTTGATTCTCTCGAGAGTTCTGTGTAGTAGGTGGGCGGGTTTAATATGATCACTTTCCAGGTGGGAAAGTACAAAGACCCACTGCATCTATGGCATACTTGGGAGATCTCTCCAATTACACTGATTATTTGTGGTGAGGGTAATTAGATGTTAGGTGCATTGTTAATATTTTTTTCTCTTCTAGATTTCAACTTGAAGACAGCAGAGGGCGCCTGACCACACAAAAGGTACGCTCTAAACGTTAATGATACGTTAGATTTAAAATTATTCGTTAAAGTTTCAAAAACATGAATTTCACTAAAATAGGACCGTGTACTTCCTCTTTCTACTATTTTAGGATTCTGATCTCATTTTAAATGTTCTATTCTCCTTCTTTCTTGGTAGTGAGAGTTTCAACCTCACGTAAATCACCACGACACTATGAATTCCAAGAGCCTTCCAAGTGAGCTTCAAGATTCTTTCAGATAATAAAAGTACAAAATCCTCCATCTACCAGATCCTTCCAAATCTTCAGTAGGGCATAGGCTCCCCCTTCCGTAGCTCTTAAGGGGCGACCACTGTAATGTGTTGCAGACAGATGCGCTGTGACTGAAGGGCCATCTTACTTCAAGTGTATTGCCTCCAGGTTACCCGCTATTCTCAGAAAAGCATAAAAGGATTAGGCATGCTCTTAGTCATATTGCACTAGAGGGAAAGTAACGGTTTCTGAAGAGCACTAGTGAGGCTTTCGCCATGTGTAGCTCATTGTTGAAGGCGATTATTGTCTGCAGGTTCAGGGGCCAGGGTACTGTGAAATTCTGCAGCTCCCTTCCAATTGGCTTTAGCTGGTTCTTTTCTCTATCATCTCACATGTTCTCACATTCTCCTACAATCGGTGCTGGGGACTGTGGCAGCCTGAATCCTATTCCACCTCCCCATTCCCCCCACCCCCTGTAGTTCCCCAAATTTTATTTTAATTCTTTATTTTCAAAGATTTAATTTTTAAATTTATTTTTAGCTGCGTTGGGTCTTCGTTGCTGCGCGCGGGCTTTCTCTAGCTGTGGTGGGCGGGGCTCCTCTTCGCTGTGGTGCGCGGGCTTCTCCTTGTGGTGGCTTCTCTTGTTGCGGAGCACGGGCTCTAGGCGCGTGGGCTTCAGTAGTTGTGGCGCACGGGCTTAGTTTCTCCGCTGCATGTGGGATCTTCCCGGACCAGGGCTCGAACCCATGTCCACTTCGTCGGCAGGAGGATTCTTATCTACTGGGCCACCAGGGAAGCCCTATTTTTCTTCTGAAAGACTAGGTTAATGGACAAGGCTTGGAGTTGGCTGAAAAAGCATTCCTCCCTGGCTGCTCAGAGATTAGTAAATTGATTGGATCTAAGTTGATTTTGTTACCGATCAGGATTCTTGGACTCCTTAATCAATAGAAATTGATAAGAGGCCAGAGAAGAAATTCAGGCAAGGCTTTATTGGGACTTGTGCTGCAGCACGAGGGAGCGAAACCAAGTAGCAGGATCCTTTGCTCGCTCCCTGATGGGGGATGGGGGTGGGGGGGCGAGCTTGTACCTTACATGGGGTGAGGGCAGAGGCGGGTCCACGGGTTGGTCCCCAACAGTGGCTTGGGTGGTCTGCCCCCCCAACTTGGCGGTGCTGAGTAGAGGGATCATTTGCAGTACCTGTGCTTTGCTTCCTGACTCCTCAGAAGTGGCAGTTGGGTCTTTGGTCTTTTTGTATCTTGTTCATAGTTTGCCCCAACTGCCACATGCATGCAGGTTTTTGTTTGTTTGTTTGTTTTTTCATGCAGTTATTTTTAATCCCTTAGTTTCTTTGTATTTTGTTTGGAGATTTCCAGGTGCAAGCACTGCACCAAAAGGTCCCAGGTCCCAGCCTGTCTCAATTTCTTTAAGGCTGAGCCTTGTGGCGGTTCACCCACAAAGTAGGAAAGGAGATTATTTCCTGATTTATGCTTTCCCTTTGCCAAATGTTTGCTTGTGCTTGTCCTTAATTTGTCCTGTTTCCTTGATCACAAGCCCAAAGATGACATCTTCTAAGCAATGAGAAGCGTTTTCACTCTGCTCTGTCCAAACCATAGCCTTCCACGTTCTACCTGTGGTTTTTCCCATTTACTAAGTCGTTTGAGTCAAATGCTAGCGGGCGGTTTTGGCTTCCCAGACTTGGAACACTGACTGCTCTTGGAGGGGGTGTCATCAGCCATGCTCCATCACGGAGAAACAGGTCCCCTCACACAGGACACTTAAGGAGTCACCTAGAAGGCGGACTGGCAGGGCTGTTTTTCTTGCTGAGCACAGTACCCTCAGCCCCTAACAATATCTGGTGCTCAGGGTCTGCGAATCCTTTAAGTGCATAAGCGTCTCTATGGGGAACGAAGCCACAGCAATCATTTGACTCGTACAAGGGTTCGCGCTGACAAAACGCGGCTCATTTACCAAGTCACCCAACTGGGTCACTGTGCAATGTGCACGCACTAAGCAATATGCGTAAACACAGCAGAAACTGAAGCCAACTTTCAGGCCCGGGCCCGGTGGCGGCGGAAACAACAGGCATCGAGTCCCCGGGAGAAGGTCTCCGAGCTGAGGGCGGACGGCACGGGGACGGGGACGGGGCCCCACTGCTTCCAGGCGTACGCCACCCAGAGCCCGAGGCCCCCAAACCCGTTTCCAAAGGCGGAGCACAGACAACCAGTAAAGCATCCAGC